TTAGGGAGTGATTGTAGATAAGAGAACTTTCCATGCACTGAGTGTTGGGAATCTCTAGCATCAAAGGTTCAGGGGAGGGGCACAGGAGCAGCTGCCAAGCAAGGTGGAAAGCAAAGCAGGCCACTGTGGGGGTGCCTACCCCTTTCTTCTTGGCAAATTCTGCTCCATGCCTGAAGTTCCTGCTAAAACAGCTCCTCCTCTGGGAAGCCCTCCTTGACTAGGTCAGACCAAATTAATTACTCCCTTCTCTGTGCTCTCCCAGCATCCTGGAGAGGCCTTCCTCCAGCATTTATGACAAGGAAATGTGATCCCCAGGTGCCAGTCTTCCCCACTAACCTGCGTCCTCTTTGGGACAAGGGCCATGCCTTATCCATGACCACCTGGCCCACAGCTAGTTCGGGGCTTGTCTCAGTGCGTGCCTAGGAAATATTCCAGAAGGGAGAAAAGAGCTTATATATATATTAGAAGTGGTCAAGGAAGGCTTTACAGAGAAGGAGGAATTCAAGCAGCACCTTGGAAGCAGTGAATTCCAAAAAAACAGTGAGACAAGAGAAAGAGCATGCCAGGCCAAGACAGAGAACAAATGGGCTGGCTTGGGAACACAGAACCTATGCCTACGAGACAGGAACTGCTCTGTGTGGCAGGACAGATAAGGAAACTAGGGTGAAGAGAGATTAACTTGCCAGCTCACCAGCTCACCTGGCTGGAAGGAGGAACCGGTATCAGACCCAACCCGGGGTTGCCTGAGAGTGAAACTCAAGCCCTTGTGTGGCCATAAGGCTGCTTCTTCATCTCCCTCCTATGGGACGTCCAGGGCAGCAGGGGAGCAGGAGATGAAAAAGGCAAAGAAGAGAAGCATCTTAGGCTTCAGGAAAGGTGTCTCCTCCAGACATCCAAGGGAAAGGATCACAAACTAAGGAGGGAATGAGACACAGAGGTAAAGGAAGATAGAGACCAAGCAACGGAATTGAGAAAGAATGTGGTTGAAAGCCGAGCTGGAAACCTTTCCTCTGCTTGTGTTTTTCTGCCACATGAATCATCTACCCCCACATGGACCTGACTGCTGAAGCCAGGGTCACACTGCTGCCCTTAAGAAGACTGCCTGGAGGATGTGTCACAGGGTGCTGGCTGCGTGGTGGCAGGGGCCGGGCTGCAATGACAGGGCCGCCGCGTTCCTAGGCAACAGATTACAGCCTGAGCAGAGCCAGCAACTGCTCTGGGCCACCACAATTTCCCAAGTACTTATTGTGGCTATGATTGGAAAGGGGTCACAATCACATGTTTAAGATAAATGTAATGTCACCAGCTAGGGCTCATGTCCTGGAATGCGAGCAACGTGGGCCCGGCCCAGGCTGCAGGCGGAGGGGGCTTCACGACAAAGAAATCATTTTCTGTATGTGCCCAGAACCTTATAGTTTGCAAAGCCCTTTCTCCTCTTTATCTCATGTGGGATGGACAACAGCCCTGTGAGGAGGCTGAGAAAATGGGCACAGAGAAGTTAAGTGACTTCTGGAAGATCACACAGCAACTCAATAGCAGAACCAGACCATCTCCCTAAATCTTTGGGTTTCAAGTTACTTCAGGTACCTGAGACTCAAACTAACAAGGGTTTAACCAAGTAGTAAGAATAAAGAAAGAGAGGACTCCAAGATTGGGGGGAATAGTATTTTCTTAATCACTGTGAATCCAAAATATATGGTAAACCAAATTTCGAACATCTAACATTTCGTACCTTGCCAAAGTTTCTCCACCTATGATACCTCATGCTACTCCTAAGACGGCAGGTAGGGAAGTGAGTGTGGTGATTCACAGAGCAAGAAACAGAGGCCCAGGGAGGTGAAGAAATCTGCCCAAGGTCACACAGCTGCAAAGAGGAAGGGCTCCTCCTTGGGGTGTTACTTGCAGTCCACTGCTCATTCCCTGACCCCAGGCCTGGAAGCACTTAGTGTGGTCAAGCAAAGGAAAACAGACATGGGACTGTGGTTTCATTTGCTAGACGTCATCTGTCCAAACCAGTGGCTCCCCCCCTGTCCACTCTCCAGCTCCCCATAGCTTGGACCCCTTGTTCCCCCACAGTGGCTGCCCCATGCAGCCTGTCCACAGCAAGACAAGCAGCAAAACAACCACCCTGGCCCTGCCCCCTGTACGCTCACTGTGCCAGGCCTCTGTGGCTTGGCTATGCATGCTGGGCCCACATGATACTCCTAAAATAGCTGTCAGTGTCAAACAGATGTGACCACATGGTCCCCCGGGATGACCCCTGGATGCCTCCACATTGCAACTGTCTCCTTTGTCCTAACCTTTTGATGGCTTTGGATAGGACTTGTTTTCTCCGATCCTATCTCTAAATTCTGCACCACCACTTACCTTTTCTACCTACCCGATGGCTGAGCTGGAAATTCTAACTGGGACCAAAGCCTGGGGTCCAAATGCCTAAGGACAGATCTCTAAATGATAACCATCCCTTCCTGGAACTGATCACTGCTTGAATCACCCTCCAAAGGGTCCCACCAGCCTGCCTGGAAATCCTGCTGACTAGTGCCCAGCCCCAGTGGGGAGCCTCTCTTTTTTGGAGCCTGTACCTTGGGACCAGCGTCTTCCTCTGCTATTGAATGAACAGCCCATCCATTAGAGATGCTGCCCCACTGCCTCTTCTCCCCCTTCTTGTCCCATGCTACCTGTTGCTCTCCTGCCATGGTGTTAGATGGAGGATGAGAAACAACCCAAACAAATTGTGTGTGTTTATGTTGGCGTGTAAAGCAGTTGCAAATGACACTGGTCCCGACAACCCACCTCAGTGTGCAGGGGAAAAGAATGTTGAAGAAAACTATGTACTTTATAGTAGTGTTTTTATAAAGCTCAAAACCAGGCAAAACAAAACAATATACTGGTAGGGATACATTTGTGCACAATAAAAGTATTTTTTTTAAAGCAGGGGAGTGATAAACATAAAATTCCTGATACTATGACCCTGGGGGTGGAGGTGGGGTGTAGGAAAATGGGATGGGGCATGCGCAGGCGGTCTTGGATATGGAGGTGGCATTTGGGATGACCATTTTGTTGATCTGCTCCATAGCTTACATACACATGGTGGTTTTATATATATATATATATATATTCACCTTCCACAAAGTAATTTTAAAGATTACATGGAGAGGGTCCCAGAGGTAATCCTTCTCACCATATGCTCTCCACTCTGATTATCTGGTGGCAGGAACCCAGGTGTCTGAGTGCCTGGACTCCAGCCTCCCCCCCACCTTCACAGCTCTACTTTTCATTCCTACTTCTTTCCCTCCCAAGCTCTGGCTCAGGCCACCACACTGTGGCCCCAGCCCCACCACTCCCTTGAAGACTATCCTCACTGATTATGAAGCACAGCAGGAAATTTCAGTTCTGGTCTCATGTGACAGCTCAGTGGCCTTTGCCACCCTGCCTGCTTCTTCTCCAAGCACGTCTGCCCTGGCACTTAGCGGGCTTCCTCTCCTGACATCTCTTCTATGCCCCAAGCCCTTTCTTGTCAGCCCCCTTTGCTGGTCCCTCCTCCATCTCCCCCTTACCTAAATGGTGGCACCCCCAGGAATCTTCTGAGGATCCGTCTCCCTGGCAGCCTCACCTGGCTTCGGTCATCATCTGAATGCTGATGAGTTCCCAGCCCAGCCCCAGGCTTTGCTCCTGAACCTCAGGCCCAAATGTCAAATTGTCCACTCAGACTTTCTACTTGGATGTTGCATAGGCTCTTCGGGGACATGTGCAATTCCAACTCCTAACCTTCTTCACAAAAGCCTGGTCCCCTTCCTGGGACTTGTATTTATCCGTCTAAGTACCTAAGCCACCTGTTAGTCAGCCTCAGCTCTCCCTTGTCCCTTGCTACCCCTGTCCTGCCACTACACTCATTCCCACCCAGTCACCAGCCCAGCTTTTCCACCTCTCAGATCCATCTCTCCACCCACACAGAGATTTTCCTAATCCAAGTGAACACCACCTCTTGTCTGTATGAAAGCAATCGGTTCACTAGTCACCCCCCTGCTCCCAGCCTTGCCCAATCTGCTCTCCATCCTGCAACTGGTTTGTTCTTTGTTAAGTGCAGATCTGAGCTCACAACTCCCTTGCAAACATCCTCCGGTGGGGGGACCCTTGCCCTCAGCCTTCCATGCACATCTGAGCATGCCATTCCCCTGCAAACATGCTTTAGCGGGTGTGTGTGTGGGGGGGGGGAGCCTGCCCTCAGCATTCCATGATTCGGCCCCTGTCTACTTGACCCACCTCCTCTTCCCTCATCTCCCTCAAAGCTCTGCCTCAAACCCCACCCTCCAATCATACCAAACCTCTTTCAGTTCCTCGAAATGTATGATTCCCCCTTACCCCTAGGGCTGCAAACATGTGTCCCTCAGAACACTGTCTCCTCGGCCCTATCCAGAATCTCCCGCTTCATCCCACTGCCACTCCTGCCGCAAAGTCTTCCCAGACCATCTTCAGTCCCACCCAGAAAATGTTAGATGGTCCCACAATGTCACGGTGCCTGGTACATTTCTTATTCTACTCTAGCACTTGTGATACTTTATACTAGGTGCTTTTTAAATCATTTGTCTCCTGTATTAGCAAACTTCATGCCTCAGCCAGAGGAGACCTGACTGTCTACATAGTACCTTGGACAGTGCCTGGCCCCTACTAAGCAGGTGGTACAAAATGGTGGAAGGAAGGATGAATAAATAGGCAAGCACTGTGCTTTACATATGTTATTTCATTTAATTCTTACAAGAATCCTTGAAGGGAGGTACTGTTAGTTTCATTTTACACATGAGAAAGGGGAAGTAACTTGCCTCTGATCACACAGCTAGCAAATAGACAGTTAGACCCAGGTTTAACACCAAAGGTCACACCAGCAACCACCTGCCCACCTCTGGCCACCCCGTCCCCACCCCTCGTTCCACAGGCAGCCAGGGAGTCCTCTACAGGCCCCGTGAAGTTTGGAAACTCAGGCTGAGATTGGCAATGGTTACCTGGAAGCATGTGGGCCCCGGCCTCCCTGCAGGGATGTCCGACTGGTAGAAAACTTTGAGCTCTGGAGTCAAGGCAATGACAGTCTTAATCACCAAGGAGATGATATCAGACCAGACTTTCTTGATGTCAACACCTTTGGAAGACAACCTACAAAGAATGCTAGAAAAAGTCCTTTTGCTGCCCGTGCTAGTGCTGTCCGAATGGACAAAGTTACCACTATGGATGTTCAGTGAATAGTTGGTTAAGTGCATAAAGACGTGGTGTAGATTTTTGGGGCTGGGCTCCTGATATGGCTCTGTACAAAATCTAGAGAGTCCGTCTTTGGCTATGTAAATCTCTAATGGGTCTAAGGATTTGAGTAAGACATACAGACGAATATCAAACTTGAGCTTGTCGATAAGAAGAGGTTTGCAAATGTATTCCTGGACCACCGCTGGCCTGCTCTGAAGGGTCCCTGCCAGGCGAATGTCACTGGGGTCTTTAATGAGGTAGATTCCATCACCCTGACAACCACCGTCGGGTTTCACAATAAAAGTGGGCTTCCAGGAGGGGTCACCATCTTTCACCATTCGAACCTGGTGGGGGAAAAAAATAGTTAGCATTATATTCTTTTCCTCTCTGGACCCCCAAGACAGAGTAGGACCTCAGCAAACATTTGATGAGTGAACGACCAAGTGAGCTCTGCCCATGTGAGTCTTCAAGGAAGGAGCATGAGGCAGATAACACTGTACTAGATACTGAGATAGTGGCCTAAGGACTGCCCTTAATTTTGTCCACCAGGAGGGGGACCGAGGGTGCAGTGGATCTATGGTCATAGGAGCTAGGTCCAAATCCCAGGTCTTTGTCAGTTATGAGATTTAACACCAGACAAGACATTTAACTAATGATGATATGATAATGGTGAGGAGGGAGAAGGGAGCGTATGGGCCAAATGGCAGGAGAGGGGACAGGGAAGCTGGAGGAAATACGGAGGAGGAGGTGGATGTGAAAGAGAGAGCCAGTCTCTCTGCAGCTTGTGATGTGCAAGAGCTCTGGGCTCTCCGTCTTGGGCTCTCTAACTGGGGCCATACCTGGGAGGCCGAGGAGGAGGAAAAGGAGGAAAAGGAGGAGGAGGAGGAGGAGGAGGAGGAGGAGGAGGAGTAAGCCTCCACACTGCACTTGCTCCTGGCCTTCCACCTTTGCTGTGGCAGCTCAGCCCAGGACATCTGCGCTCTGCCTTTTACTTATCTCTCTGGTCAGCCTGTATTTCTAAGTGAAGTTTTTGCCAATTCCATGGGCGCTATCGGTTACTCCGGGCTTGTAAAAGATCTTTAACAATGGAGAAACACTTAAAACCTTAATAATGGTCCACATCAATTGTTTTCCCCTTGTCAGCAGGATTCGAGAATGGAAGTTCACAAGAGATCAATGCAAGCCTTCCAGGGCCCTCCGCTGAGCCTTCCTGGCAACTGTGACCTTGACCGTTTATGTAGTTATTTAATATGCATCCAAAGCATTTCCACGTTTGGCCCTTCACAGTAAATATAAGCATGCTGGAGAGACGACAGTTATGGATCAGGGAGTGAAAAATATCAAGATTGCACTGATGGATAATTTTTCCCTCTGGAAAGCTTTTACTATGCTGAAGATACTAACAGTTCAATATGTTATGGGGAGCAGTATTTTCTCTTTTGAATTAAGTGTATATGCCTTAAATAAATTAAACCGCATGGTCAATAGTCTCTGTCATTCATTGCATTACTGAATATTTCTTCTGCTCTTTGCCAGGGTAGGACCATACAAATCATAATTATTAATACTAATAGGATGACTGAAATTTTAGATTTGGAAGGATCCTCGGAGCTCGACGCTACCCGGTCCTCGCGTAATTCAAACTAGGAAGCTGAGGCTCAGACAGGTGACATGACCTGCCCGGGGTCCCCTAACTGGCTGGTGGGATGGATCGGATGAGAACTGAGGTCGTCTGATCTTACTGCAGGTTCTCTATACCCATTTTCCTCTCATAAGATAAAATTAAAGGCCTCTTTTTCCTTTTTTTTTTTTTTAAAGGCCTCTTTTCTCTGAATACTATAGGGGAGATTCTCTCACTATGGCAGACAGAGCTGGTGTAGTCCACAGACTAAGGAGTCTGGGCCCTGAGCATGGCCTTCTTGGAGCTGTAACCACAGATGCTGAGTTTGCCAGGACTTTCCCCAGTTCCAGAGCTTCTGCCCAGGTTCCTGGCTTGTTATAATATAGGTACAATCTATGGGAAATCCTCAGAGCCCCATGGCCACCAGATCCATCAGTGACCTCTATTTTCAAAAGGGATTTTCCAGAATTCATATTCACCTCTCTTCTGAGGTTTTACTCAAGAGTGACCGTTTCCCCCCAGTTATTAAAGTTAAGAATGAACGCATACTTCTTAGCATGAACTCACGGACCAGGATAAAAATATAGTCTGTGTCACCAAACTCCAGCCCCAGATATTCTGATTTAATGGATCTGGGATGAGCCCTGGGCATGTTTATCTTGGAAAAAGCATGAGGGGTGAGTCTGACGTTCAGTCTGCTTGAGAATCACTGAACTTAGGTGGACAAAATAAAAGTACAATCTGGGACCAACATATCGAATGAAGTTTTATGTACTGATGTTAGCCTGAATGGGAGGAGGACCTGCACGTAGGCTACAGCTGCGGGTCCCTCCAGTTTTACCCAAAGCTGCTGTTGGACATGAAATCCATTATCTTGTAACTGCACGGATGGCTGAAAGGGATGCAGAGGATGTGGTGTAGCCTAACGGCTTGGCACTCGCCTGGCCTATTGAAAAAATTATGTCTTTTACTGCCCTCTAGTGGAGATTTGAGAAATGTGACTGGGAAAGACCCCCCCATTCAAAATTCAGGTTCTTCGCAGTAACCCACTCTACTAACCTGGTCTTTTGTTTGTTTGTTTTGTTTTGTTTTGTTTTTGCTTTTTATTTTATTTTTTAATAATAAATTTATTTTTTATTGGTGTTCAATTTGCCAACATACAGAATAACACCCAGTGCTCAAACATTATATGTTCTCATTCATTTGGGGAATATAATAATAGTGAAAGGGAATATAAGGGAAGGGAGAAGAAATGTGTGGGAAATATCAGAAAGGGAGACAGAACATAAAGACTCCTAACTCTGGGAAACGAACTAGGGGTGGGGGAAGGGGAGGAGGGCGGGGGATGGGGGTGAATGGGCACTTGACGGGATGAGTACTAACCTGATCTTAAAGAAAAGCTACAAAGAGCTCCCCCTCTAGACTGTCAGGTAAAGTAAGGTCATACTTAGAATGAACTCGTCTCTAAAAGGCCAGGGTTGGCCAAGGTCACAGTCACTGTTCAGGCTCTCTGTTTCTTAAATACATTTCAAGTGTTCTCACTCTATATAGTTGGGACTCTCTGCTAAAATTCTCTCTTAGTAGATATAAAACTTTAAAATTCATGTGCAGCATGAATAAGAAATCCTGTAAATATATACCACAAAAATATCCGTGACTTTTCCAGTCTTCACTGTGCTTGTTTTGTATTTTCCAAACTTTCCATTGAGGGGGAGAGGTGGTGGGGAGAAACGAATAGCAATGGTAGGCAGCAGCAAGTGTCTCTCAATGTATATAAGGAATGCTTCTTGGTGAACATGTACTTATACATCCATGTTCATAGCAGCATGACTCAATAGCCAAAAGGTGGGAGCAGCCTGAGTGTCCATCAACATAGGAGTGGATAAACAAAACGTGCTATACACACACAATAGAAGTTTATTCAGCCACAGAAAGGAAGGAAGTTCTGACACCCGCTACAGTGGATGGACCTTGAGGACTTTATGTGAAGTGAAATAAGCTGTCACACAAAAGGACAAACGCTGAATGGTCGCACTTCTATGAAGCACTTAGAGGTGTCAGAATTCATAGACAACAAGTAGAGTGGTTACCAGAGGCTAAGGGGAGGGAGAAACAGAGAGCTAGTGTTTGAGGGGTGCAGAGTTTCAGTGTGGGGAGATGACCAAAGTTCTGGAGATGGATGGTGGTGATGCTGTACCCACAATGTGAATGTATTTGATGCTGCCGAACAATATACCTAAAAATGGTTGAGGATGGTAAGTTAGGCATATTTTACCACAAGTTTTTAAGTTTAAAAAGAATTTTTTAAGATTTCATGTATTTATTTATATGAGTGAGAGAGAGAGAGAGAGAGAGAGAGAGAGAGAGCATGAGCAGGGGAAGAAGCAGATTCCTCACCTCACTGAGCAGGGAGCCCAATACAGGACTTGATCCCAGGACCCCAGGATCATGACCTGAGCCAAAGGCGGAAGTTCAACAGACTGAGCCACCCAGGCACCCTTAAAAATTTTTAATAAAAAAAAGAAACTAAGTAGCTTTTGGTGAGTTAGAAATAAAACAGAAGTAAAAAAAACAGAAAATGTGAACTCTAGCCCCAGTTTAGACAGGAAATTTCTGACTGTATGACCTTGGGAAAGTCATGTAACTTCCAGGACTTTGTTGTACTCATCTATAAAATAAAGAGGTCACATTAAGGTCCCTGGCTTCTGCCAACTAACAGGGTCTGAACAATGGCTTAGCCTGACATTACCACAGTTGAAGGCTGTGTTACAAACACACAAGTGACATTAATTAGTAGAGAGTTCACACTGCACTGCTGTGATGAGTGCATCGGGAGGATCTACAAGAGCATGAGACCTGGACTGGAGATTTATGATGCACTTGAGAAAGGCGGCTGGGCATCTGGGGGAAGCAAAGCTAAAATATTTTGAGAGAGAAATTCAGCAGCTGGAACATTGAGGCACAAAACATTATTAGCAGTGAGGGGAGACTCAGAGGACAGCTTCTGAGGAAATACTGTGTCTGCAATCCTGGGGAGGTCAAAGCCAGTTAGAGTGGTCTTCTGTCACTCAGGTGGATTTGCATCCAATATCAGCACCCAAGACCCTTGGTATTGCAGGCACAGGTAAAACGTAGCTTCTGGAAGATGAGCCCACATCACAAAGTGCATGCATGCAGGGACATCCCCTTCCAGCCTGGGCAGACTGAGCCTTACCCACAGGGCAAATCCCTAGTCCCAGCCAACAGTAAGAACTGAGAAGGTATCGCGCTGCAGCAGTGGGGTTTGTGAAAGCGGAAGAAAGCAGGATCTATCTGGGCAACTGCAGACAGTTCCAATGTCTGGAGAACAGAGAGCGGTGAAGTGGAGAGTGCACAGGAAATCTCACCAGTGAGCTCTGCCGAGGCCAGATAACAAGTTGCACACACACACCTACCAGGCACTCATGGGTCAGGCATGGGGCCAAGCACTTTACATGTATCATCTCATTTAATCCTCCACAACCCTATTTTACAGTTAAGGAAATGAAGGCCCAGAGATGTTAATTAACTTGTCAAAAGTCACACAGCCAACGGGACGTGAAGCCAGGATTTAAGCACAGACAGTGACATTCCAGAGCCCGTGTCTATAGTAAATAAGGGAAGGATGTGAGAAAGGGGATGGAAGAAGACCATGGCTGGGTAGGAGGTGGGGTCCAAAACGGAAAGGTCTGAATATCATTATAA